GATAGGACGCGAGGGGGCGCGCGTCACCTCCTGCTCTGTAGAAGTCCTCTTGAACGGTGTCCCGAGAAGCTCGCCATTTAGCATCGCAAAAAATAAGGATTATCCGAGCTTTAACGAGTCCCAGACGTTGCTGCCTGCTTCACCTGTTATCGAGGACATGCTTCACCTGTTATCGAGGACATGCTTCACCTGTTATCGAGGACATGCTTCACCTGTTATCGAGGACATGCTTCACCTGTTATCGAGGACATGCTTCACCTGTTATCGAGGACATGCTTCACCTGTTATCGAGGACATGCTTCACCTGTTATCGAGGACATGCTTCACCTGTTATCGAGGACATGCTTCACCTGTTATCGAGGACATGCTTCACCTGTTATCGAGGACATGCTTCACCTGTTATCGAGGACATGCTTCACCTGTTATCGAGGACATGCTTCACCTGTTATCGAGGACATGCTTCACCTGTTATCGAGGACATGCTTCACCTGTTATCGAGGACATGCTTCACCTGTTATCGAGGAGACCTCGTCATGTCGGATGTGTAACCTAATCATTTTTTATGGCCATAATGATAGTGATAGATTGTCCGATCGTTAGGATGTAGGATTATCAAATAAACCTACTAAGTCTAATTCCGTGAATCGGTTAATTCCTTCAATGGAAATTAGTTGATACGACTGTAGTTCAATACAAATTACAATGTATATTTTTCACAGCGTGAAGTTATGTCTACGAGAGCGGGTCCACGACGCCATCACGTTGAGACAGGACTATATTGTTATCGGTAGGCTGTCAGACGCACTTCTCATTATCTACTCTACAGCTAAGCTGACCATTACTTAGTTATGATATCGTAGTTAGTTTACTAACTCCATAACCCTTATTTACTGATAAACTTTATTGTTGAAATTATGCAACATATTATGTTTATTACATAGATCTAGCAGTCTTACATCTACCCCCAAAAAAGTGTGGAAGTGGAATTATCCAACTAATTATCAAATTTATACAGTTCGCTAATGTAATATATTCATCTTTATTTATCAATTAATTTATGATTATAGTAAACTATATGTTGGAAGAGTTTCCCCACATGAGGTCCACTACTCCCTCATAGGATTAGTATTGGGTTCACTACCGTTCACAGGATGGGTATGGGGTCCATTACCCCTCCGCAGGATGGGTATGGAGTCCGCTACCCCCCACAGGATGGGATTGGGGATTCACTTTCCCCCCCCCCCCTCCACCCACGGGATGGGAAGGGGTTTCACTATCCCCCACAGAATATGTATGGGGTCCATTACCCCCCACTGGATGGGTATGGGGTCCCCTGTCTCCCCACAGGATGGGTATGGTGGTATACAATCGTCCACAGGATGGGTATGAAGTCCACTACCGCCTACAGGATGGGTACGGGATTCACTACCAACCAAAATTTGAATATTTATGTGGCGCATAATAAATTTTCTAAACTAAAACCTCATCTCCTTCTCCCGTCTTCAATACCTTACATTTTTGGGATTGAATCCTACCATTCACTCATTTGCCCCGCCCCAGTGTTTACAGACGACCCATCAGTCTGTGGGACGACCCACCACTCTGAGGTATGACCCACCAGTCTGTGGTACGACCCACCAGTCTGTGGGACGACCCATCAGTCTGTGGTATGACCCACAAATCTGTGAGACGACCCACCAGTCTGTTTGACGACCCACCAGTCTGTGGGACGGCTCACCAGTCTGTTTGACGACCCACCAGTTTGTTTGACGACCCACCAGTCTGTTTGATGACCCACCAGTCTATTTGATGACCCACCAGTCTGTGGGACAACCCACCAGTCTATGAGTCGTCTGCAGACATTGATATACAAGAGCTCCCTCCCTCGGGTCGGTCTTGAGGGCGGTAGATGTCGTTGGATGGGTAATGTCTGTAATTAGTGGGCGGTGGGTGGTAGATTATGGGCGGTGTGTTTAGATTATGAGCGGTGTGTAGTAGATTATGGGTGGTGTGTAGTAGATTATGGGCGGTGTGTAGTAGATTATGGGCGGTGTGTAGTAGATTATGGGTGGTGTGTAGTAGATTATGGGCGGTGGGTGGTCACAAGGGTCAGGAATCTACTGAACTTGACGCATATTCTGGCCAACCTGTAAACCTTTTTTTCCTTTCGTGGCGGCTTTGTTTACAATATTAAACAAGAGGCTGTTTATAACAATAATAATATGTAATTGTGAAGTTTTGAAGGTCGTAAACTGGTTTAATAAACGTACTCAAAGCCGCTAATTACTTTGAAAAGATGTAGAGGTTTGCAAGTGGCTACGCATATGATTGTTGACTCCTGGCCCTGGTATGGTAGACAGCTGTACGACAACGGACCCAGGAACCAAAACAAACAGCACGTCTGGCAGCGCCGCCCTACTGTATAATTCACCCACACACCACAAACTCCTTGTCAACTCCTCTTAATTTTGCAACAGCTGTATTATGCCTCACTGTATTTTTTGTTTTAATTTTTCTATTGGCTTAATGGGTCTGCCCTAAACCTGTTTACTCAGGATAGTTTTGAGGTTAGTGAATTTAGGCGTCCTCAACCCAGAAGTCAAATACTAGTTCACGGTGATTTATGCAAGCATAAAGAGTCTTTAGATAGGTGCTTAAACAACAATTTTTGACTCATATGTTACTGTACGTCTTGAGATAAGACGTTGATATGACTCAGTGTATAAATGATATGACCCCAGTGTATAAGTGATATGACTCAGTGTATAAGTGATATGACTCAGTGTATAAGTGATATGACCCCAGTGTATAAGTGATATGACTCAGTGTATAAGTGATATGACCCAGTGTATAAGTGATATGACCCAGTGTAAAAGTGATATGACCCCAGTGTATAAATGACATGACTCAGTGTATAAGTGATATGACTCAGTGTAAAAGTGATATGACTCAGTGTATAAGTGATATGACCCCAGTGTATAAATGACATGACTCAGTGTATAAGTGATATGACTCAGTGTATAAGTGATATGACTCAGTGTATAAGTGATATGACCCAGTGTATAAGTGATATGACCCCAGTGTGTAAAAGATATGACCCAGTGTATAAGTGATATGACCCCAGTGTATAAATGACAGGACTCAGTGTATAAGTGATATGACTCAGTGTATAAGTGATATGACCCAGTGTATAAGTGATATGACTCAGTGTATAAGTGATACGACTCAGTGTATAAGAGATATGACCCAGTGTATAAGTGATATGACCCCAGTGTATAAATGATATGACTCAGTGTATAAGTGATATGACTCAGTGTATAAGTGATATGACTCAGTGTATAAGTGATATGACCCCAGTGTATAAATGACATGACTCAGTGTATAAGTGATATGACTCAGTGTATAAGTGATATGACCCAGTGTATAAGTGATATGACTCAGTGTATAAGTGATACGACTCAGTGTATAAGAGATATGACCCAGTGTATAAGTGATATGACCCCAGTGTATAAATGATATGACTCAGTGTATAAGTGATATGACTCAGTGTATAAGTGATATGACTCAGTGTATAAGTGATATGACCCCAGTGTATAAATGACATGACTCAGTGTATAAGTGATATGACTCAGTGTATAAGTGATATGACTCAGTGTATAAGTGATATGACCCAGTGTATAAGTGATATGACCCCAGTGTGTAAAAGATATGACCCAGTGTATAAATGATATGACCCCAGTGTATAAATGACATGACTCAGTGTATAAGTGATATGACTCAGTGTATAAGTGATATGACCCAGTGTATAAGTGATATGACCCCAGTGTATAAATGATATGACCCAGTGTATAAGTCATATGACCCCAATGTATAAATGATATGACCCAGTGTATAAGTCATATGACCCTAGTGTATAAATGATATGACCCAGTGTATAAGTGATATGACCCCAGTGTATAAATGACATGACTCAGTGTATAAGTGATATGACTCAGTGTATAAGTGATATGACCCAGTGTATAAGTGATATGACCCCAGTGTATAAATGATATGACCCAGTGTATAAGTCATATGACCCCAATGTATAAATGATATGACCCAGTGTATAAGTCATATGATACCAGTGTATAAGTGATATAACCCAGAATATAAGTCCAGACATAGATCGTCACAGCCCCCTTTCACACGAGGCCGGCCTCCTTCAAGACCGAACAGAAGGAAGAGTGATAATTATTTTATTATTTATATTGTTATTATTATAATAATAATAATTGTTGTATTTAATAATTATCACTCTTTCTTCTGCTTGGTCTTGTAGGAGGTCGGCCTCGGGTGGAAGAGGGCTGTGACGATCTCTGTCTGGAACCGGAAGGTGGGGGACCAGGACGTCCACCTCCCGGGGCTCGTGCAGCCCCCCAGGCTCTGCTTCAGGAGGCTGGGGTCGTTCATACCCTTGCTGGGGTGGTTCTTCTCCGGCCCCGACCACGGCGGTCTCCGGGTTTGGAGTCCCTGTGCCTTTTTCACCAACTTCGAGGTCAACTCCGGAACTCACAGTTAATGCGACGGCGCTGGAACCAATCTTATTGGCATTTGCATTTTTATTGGAGAGTTTCGGCCCCGTGGAGAGGGGGGGACCTGCTGCCTGGGTAACAGCTTCTCCCCCGTATCAACCTACCCTGGCTTTGCGCCTATGAGAGGCCACTCCAGATCAACAGCCAGAGCGCAACACCATAGTCTCCTGAGACTGATGGATGCCTACTGCTACTATAAGTGATATGACCCGGTGTACAAGTGATATGACCCGGCGTATAAGTGATATGACCCGGTGTATAAGTGATATGACCCGGTGTATAAGTGATATGACCCGGTGTATAAGTGATATGACCCGGTGTATAAGTGATATGACCCAGTGTATAAGTGATATTACTAATATACACTACGTCCTAACTTTTGAAATACAATTGTATAATTACTGTCATTTATATAATAATATGACATTCATGGGTAAGTCACCAGGTATATTCACTTGTCACTTGAATATCTGTGTGTTTATGCGTGTCTGTATGAAGGTCAGAGTGTGCAATATACCAAGGCTTTGTCGATACGTTTGGTACGAGGTCATCTAGATAACTGCTTGTTGAGTGAGGTGTACCTATGCAACCCGTCCTCAAACCAAGACCATTCCATCCAGCGGCTGACCCCATAGACGCAGTCATCAATTTTAACATGCTGGTCATGCAAAACAGGAATTTTCTTAAATATAAATTTATACTATAATAAATCAGCATATTGTGTATATATAGGCATAGGTTAGGTTAGGTGTTTTGGTTATGTTGGCGATTATTTGTATTTGTAGTACGTGAGTGAAGCATTTATAGCGTTGTGGTACGAATAAAATTCGTCAGTGAAGCACTTGTTCCGGAAGTGTTCGAACGTCAGCAGTTGTGAGTCGTGTGTAAACCGTTTTTCAGTCATAAACAGCGGGTTTGGCGGGTGCCTGGAATGGACCTCTCCTCCTCCCTCTCCTTCTCCACCTTCCCTGCCCTTCACCCCCTTCCTTACCCTTCACCACCTTCCCTGCCCTTCACCCCCTTCCTTACCCTTCACCACCTTTCCTGCCCTTCACCACCTTTCCTACCCTTCACCACCTTCCCTGCCCTTCACCACCTTCCCTGCCCTTCACCCCCTTCCCTACCCTTCACCACCTTCCCTGCCCTTCACCACCTTTCCTACCCTTCACCACCTTCCCTGCCCTTCACCACCTTAACTGCCCTTCACCCCCTTCCCTACCCTTCACCACCTTCCCTGCCCTTCACCACCTTCCCTGCCCTTCACCCCCTTCCCTGCCCTTCACCACCTTCCCTACCCTTCACCACCTTCCCTACCCTTCACCACCTTCCCTACCCTTCACCACCTTCCCTGCCCTTCACCACCTTCCCTACCCTTCACCACCTTCCCTACCCTTCACCACCTTCCCTGCCCTTCACCACCTTCCTTACCCTTCACCTTCCCTGCCCTTCACCACCTTCCCTACCCTTCACCACCTTCCCTACCCTTCACCACCTTCCCTGCCCTTCACCACCTTCCCTACCCTTCACCACCTTCCCTGCCCTTCACCACCTTCCTTACCCTTCACCTTCCCTGCCCTTCACCACCTTCCCTACCCTTCACCACCTTCCCTACCCTTCGCCACCTTCCCTACCCTTCACCACCTTCCCTACGCGTCCTACACTCAATCTCGAACAGACAAACAGACATTTTTAAAGATATACAAATAATATTAAAAATATATCACAGGGATTTTGAAACCTTGGAATGATATAAAAATTATTGTCCTCGGCTAAATGATGCTTATAAAAGTCTTTTCGTGAAATAACAAATTGTTCATATTGGGTTAATTTTGCAGTCTGGAATCGAAATTGAAATTGAAAAGCCTTGTTAATATATTATTTTTTGGTGAAGAGCTTCCCAGAATTTCCACATCACAAAAAAAAAACGCACTTGAATAGATTTTCAAAAATTAAAAATATTGCAGATATGAATTAAAATATATGTGTTTGTACTGCCAATTCTATATGAAAATAACACTGCAAAATTCTGCCAACCGGTGAGAAGCGCATGAACAAACGCGTAAATAGTTATATAAAAGTGGAAAAGGCTTTAAACATGGAAATCCACTGGAATTGTGGAAAGCCAATTAAATTTCCAATAATAAAAACCACCAAATTGATGAAAATATATATATGGGAATCTTCATGAAAACAAAACTGAACTCTGGTATGAAATGTTACAATTTTTGCCATAACTTATTTTTTATTATTGAAGATTAAAATGGGGGTCTGGTGATACGATTTTTCCAATACTTCAGAAGATATGTATACAAAATATTATTTTTGTTTATTGAATTGAAAAATGGAAAAACATTGACAAACTGAACGAAAACTCTGACAAACTGAACGAAAACTTTGACAAACTGAACGTAAACTTTGACAAACTGAACGAAAACTTTGACAAACTGAACGAAAACTCTGACAAACTGAACGTAAACTTTGACAAACTGAACGAAAACTTTGACAAACTGAATAAAATCTTTGACAAACTGAACGAAAACTTTGAGAAACTGATCGAAAACTTTGACAAATATAGCGAAAACTTTGACAAACAATGAAAACTTTTATACACGGTACGATTTGTTCATACTCCAAAGCCTCTGTCCAATATAATTATTGAAACTGTTGCATGTTAATGTAAAAGTTTGTGCAAGTGTGGAGCTGACAATGTGCAACGACGTCATCTATATCTAAATCAAAACTTTTCAAAACTTCGGAAAATATTTGCCAGTCCCACAAACACGAGTAAACTTCCAAGACTGCAAAAACTACTTAAAACAACTACAATCAGCAGCAACAACTACAATCAGCAGCGACAACTACAATCAGCAGCAACAATTGCAATCAACAGAAACAACTACAATCAGCAGCAACAATTGCAATCAACAGAAACAACTACAATCAGCAGCAACAATTGCAATCAACAGAAACAACTACAATCAGCAGCAACAATTGCAATCAACAGAAACAACTACAATCAGCAGCAACAATTGCAATCAACAGAAACAACTGCAATCAATCAACAGCAGCAGCACAATTGCAATAACAATCAGGCAGCAACATCTACAATCAGCAGCAACAACTACAATCAGTAGCAACATCTACAATCAGCAGCAACAACTACAATCAGTAGCAACAATTGCAATCAACAGCAACAACTACAATCAGCAGCAACAATTGCAATCAACAGAAACAACTACAATCAGCAGCAACAATTGCAATCAACAGAAACAACTGCAATCTGCAGCAACAACTACAATCAGGAGCAACATCTACAATCAGCAGCAACAACTACAATCAGTAGCAACATCTACAATCAGCAGCAACAACTACAATCAGTAGCAACAATTGCAATCAACAGAAACAACTACAATCAGCAGCAACAATTGCAATCAACAGAAACAACTACAATCAGCAGCAACAATTGCAATCAACAGAAACAACTGCAATCTGCAGCAACAACTACAATCAGGAGCAACATCTACAATCAGCAGCAACAACTACAATCAGTAGCAACATCTACAATCAGCAGCAACAACTACAATCAGTAGCAACAATTGCAATCAACAGAAACAACTACAATCAGCAGCAACAATTGCAATCAACAGAAACAACTACAATCAGCAGCAACAACTACAATCAGTAGCAACAACTACAGTCAGCAGCAACAACTACAATCAGTAGCAACAACTACAGTCAGCAGCAACAACAACAATCAGTAGCAACAATTGCAATCAACAGAAACAACTACAATCAGCAGCAACAACTACAATCAGCAGCAACAACTACAATCAGTAGCAACAATTGCAATCAACAGAAACAACTACAATCAGCAGCAACAACTACAATCAGCAGCAACAACTACAATCAGTAGCAACAACTACAATCAGCAGCAACAACTACAATCAGCAGCAACAACTACAATCAGTAGCAACAATTGCAATCAACAGAAACAACTACAATCAACAGCAACAACTACAATCAGTAGCAACAACTACAATCAGCAGCAACAACAACAATCAGTAGCACCATCTACAATCAGCAGCAACAACTACAATCAGCAGCAACATCTACAATCAGCAGCAACAACTACAATCAGTAGCATCATCTACAATCAGCAGCAACAACTACAATCAGCAGCAACATCTACAATCAGCAGCAACAACTACAATCAGTAGCATCATCTACAATCAGCAGCAACAACTACAATCAGCAGCAACAACCACAATCAGTAGCATCATCTACAATCAGCAGCAACAACTACAATCAGCAGCAACAACTACAATCAGCAGCAACAACTACAATCAGTAGCAACAACTACAGTCAGCAGCAACAACTACAATCAGCAGCAACATCTACAATCAGCAGCAACAACTACAGTCAGCAGAAGCAACAACAATCAGCAGGAACAACTTCAATCACCAGAAACAACTACAATCACAGGAAACAACTACAATCACCGGAAACAACTAACATCATTAGCAATAACTACAATCAGCAGCATCAACTACAATCAGCAGCGACAACTACAATCAGCAGCAACAACTACAATCAACCCAACATAATAATCAGAAAAGCTGCGTGTGATAATGGTCCAGAATTCACGCAGAAACTGAGTGTGTCCAATGACGAAACCTGTACATCTTTCCTCAATGATGGCGGCCTAGTTTACATTTATTAACTAGTTTATGAGCTCCTAGGCGCTAAAAGGCTGTGTAAAACACTAATAACCTTGGGTTGTAATTGTTATAATAACTGAAACTCCTGAACTGATTAATAAATGTTAAAATATGGTTTATTGATAGAGTAAACATGTAGAGCTTTCGTAAATTAACGCATTAAGGTTTGACATATCCTGGCTAATGTGTGGGTCCCCTTATTCATCGATTAGCTTGCAAAGAAACCTCAGTTAGCATGCAAAGAAACCTCAGTTAGCATGCAAAGAAACCTCAGTTAGCATGCAAAGAAACCTCAATTAGCAGGCAAAGAAACCTCAGTTAGCATGCAAAGAAACCTCAATTAGCATGCAAAGAAACCTAAATTAGCATGCAAAGAAACCTCAATTAAGATGCAAAGAAACCTCAATTAGCATGCAAAGAAACATCAGTTAGCATGCACAGAAACCTCAATTAAGATGCAAAGAAACCTCAATTAGCTTGCAAAGAAATATCAATTAACATGCAAAAAAAGCTCAATTAACATGCAAAGAAACCTCAATTAAGAAACAACAACAACATGACATGAAAATTTCACAAAAATTATCCTGAAATCTTGACACAAGTTGAATATCATATTTTCAGGACAAGAGGCTGGCTGTCAGAGCCTGTGTAAGCCTCAGTCTTGGTCGATAAAGGCTGACTCCAACACCCATTTTTCAGGCTTTTTAGGTCATTTTGAGCTCGTAACTCTTGACGGGGGATCGTATCCAGTTGATGAGCATCATGCAAGCTTCTTGGAGCTTTTACTCATAACATCCAGGTTGTTACAGTTTTTACTCATAACATCCAGCTTGTTTGAGTTATTACTCATACCACCCAACTTGTTGCAGTTATTACTCATACCACCCAACTTGTTGCAGTTATTACTCATACCACCCAACTTGTTGCAGTTTTTACTCATACCACCCAACTTGTTGCAGTTTTTACTCATACCACCCAACTTGTTGCAGTTTTTACTCATACCACCCAACTTGTTGCAGTTTTTACTCATACCACCCAACTTGTTGCAGTTTTTACTCATACCACCCAACTTGTTGCAGTTTTTACTCATACCACCCAACTTGTTGCAGTTATTACTCATACCACCCAACTTGTTGCAGTTTTTACTCATACCACCCAACTTGTTGCAGTTTTTACTCATACCACCCAACTTGTTGCAGTTTTTACTCATAAACATACAAGCTTATTGGAGTTTTTACTCATGATATTCCTTATTCTCGTCCCAGGAATTTGTTGAAGATTATCACAGCTTAGCCTATATATATATATATATATATATATATATATATATATATATATATATATATATATATATATATATATATATATATATATATATATATATATATATATATATATATATATATATATATATATATATATATATATATATATATATATATTATATATATATATATATATATATATATATATATATATATATATATATATATATATATATATATATATATATATATATATATATATATATATATATATATATATATATATATATATATACAACCTTAGAACACTTTCCCACCAGGAGATTCGAACCCTAGCCAGCACAGAAGCCTTACAGCAACTGGCATAACTGGTACGCCTTTAACACACTGCACCACAGCTCAGACCCTTAAAAGAGATGGTAATTTCGGAGTATTTCACCCCCTCCCCCCCCCCCCCCCCCCCAAAGATCACCACCTCCCAAGGGCAACTAGAGCATAGTGAGGGAGGCAAGTGTGCATAGTGCATAGTAGGCTTACAAGTGCGTTCTGGCTACTAGGTACGACATATATATATATATATATATATATATATGTCGTACCTAGTAGCCAGAACGCACTTCTCAGCCTACTATGCAAGGCCCGATTTGCCTAATAAGCCAAGTTTTCCTGAATTAATATATTTTCTCTAATTTTTTTCTTATGAAATGATAAAGCTACCCATTTCATTATGTTTGAGGTCAATTTTTTTTATTGGAGTTAAAATTAACGTAGATATATGACCGAACCTAACCAACCCTACCTAACCTAACCTAACCTATGATTTATAGGTTAGGTTAGGTTAGGTAGCCAAAAAAGTTAGGTTAGGTTAGGTTAGGTAGGTTAGGTTGTCGAAAAAACATTAATTCATGAAAACTTGGCTCATTAGGCAAATCGGGCTTTGCATAGTAGGCTGAGAAGTGTGTTCTGGCTACTAGGTACGACATATATATAAATATATATATATATATATATATATATATATATATATATATATATATATATATATATATGCAAACAAGCCTGAATGGTCCCCAGGACTATATACAACTGAAAACTCACACCCCAGAAGTGACTCGAACCCATACTCCCACAACTGGTATGTACAGGGACGCCTTAATAGTTATATATATATATATATATATATATTAAATATGACCGAAAAAGTAAGATTAATAACTCTAACACGAATTTTCTCGGTCTTTCTTATGTTTCTTTTCACTGTTGATGGTAATTGAAAAATCAATTCTCCAAAATTCATTTTTATTTCTAGACTAATTTTTAGTAGACTAGAATAAAAATGAATTTGGAGAATTGATTTTTCAATTACCATCAACAGTGAAAAGAAACATAAGAAAGATCGAGAAAATTCGTGTTAGAATTATTAATCTTACTTTTTCGGTCATATATAATAATATATGTCTACAGGAAAGACTGCTACCAAAATAAACTAATATATATATATATATATATATATATATATATATATATATATATATATATATATATATATATATATATATATATATATATATATATATATATATATATATATATATATATATATATATATATATATATATATAACTGAAAACTCACACCCCAGAAGTGACTCGAGACTCGAACCCATACTCCCACAACTGGTATGTACAGGGACGCCTTAATCCGCTTGACCATCACGACCGGACATAAGGAAGTGATAGCCGAGGCTATATGAACCACTTCCCCGCCGGCACTCGGATGGTAATCTTGGGCATAGCATTTTATCAAATCACCTCATTCTTTGGGGCACACGTGAGGAACACAAATGCAATTGTGTTCCTCACGTGTTCGTTCTGGCTACTAGGTACGATATATATATATATATATATATATATATATATATATATGCGAACAAGCCTGAATGGTCCCCAGGACTATATGCGAATGAAAACTCACACCCCAGAAGTGACTCGAACCCATACTCCCAGAAGCAACGCAACTGGGAACTACAGGGCGCCTTAATCCGCTTGACCATCACGGCCGTCAAAAAGGAAGTGATAGCCGAGGCTATTTGAGCCACTTCCCCGACGGCAACTCGGATGGTAATCTTGGGCATAGCATTTCACCAAATCACCTCATTCTTTGGGGCACACGTGAGGACCACAAATGCGAACAAGCCTGAATGGTCCCCAGGACTATATGCGAATGAAAACTCACACCCCAGAAGTGACTCGAACCCATACTCCCAGAAGCAAGCGGATTAAGGCGCCCTGTAGTTACCAGTTGCGTTGCTTCTGGGAGTATGGGTTCGAGTCACTTCTGGGGTGTGAGTTTTCATTCATATATATATATATATATATATATATATATATATATATATATATATATATATATATATATATATATATATATATATGTCGTACCTAGTAGCCAGAATGCACTTCTCGGCCTACTATGCAAGGCCCGATTTGCCTAATAAGCCAAGTTTTCCTGAATTAATATATTTTCACAAATTATTTTCTTACGAAATGATAAAGCTACCCATTTCATTATGTATGAGGTCAATTTTTTTTTATTGAAGTTAAACTATAGTAATAGAAATAGTAATAGTAAATAGTAATAGTAAATAGTAAACTATAGTAATAGAATAGAAATAGTAATTACTATCCGAGTGCCGGCGGTGGGGTGGTTCAAATAGCCTCGGCTATCACCTCATTATGTCCGGTCGTGATGGTCAAGTGGATTAAGGCGTCTTGTACATACCAGTTGCGTCGCTCCTGGGAGTATGGGTTCGAGTCACTTCTGGGGTGTGAGTTTTCAGTTGCATATTGTCCTGGGGACCATTCAGGCTTGTTTGCATTTGTGTTCCTCACGTGTGCCCCAAAGAATGAGGTGATTTGGTAAAATGCTATGCCCAAGATTACTATCCGAGTGCCGGCGGTGGGGTGGTTCAAATAGCCTCGGCTATCACCTCATTATGTCCGGTCGTGATGGTCAAGTGGATTAAGGCGTCTTGTACATACCAGTTGCGTCGCTCCTGGGAGTATGGGTTCGAGTCACTTCTGGGGTGTGAGTTTTCAGTTGCATATTGTCCTGGGGACCATTCAGGCTTGTTCGCATTTGTGTTCCTCACGTGTGCCCCAAAGAATGAGGTGATTTGGTAAAATGCTATGCCCAAGATTACTATCCGAGTGCCGGCGGTGGGGTGGTTCAAATAGCCTCGGCTATCACCTCATTATGTCCGGTGGTGATGGTCAAGTGGATTAAGGCGTCTTGTACATACCAGTTGCGTCGCTCCTGGGAGTATGGGTTCGAGTCACTTCTGGGGTGTGAGTTTTCAGTTGCATATTGTCCTAGGGACCATTCAGGCTTGTTCGCATTTGTGTTCCTCACGTGTGCCCCAAAGAATGAGGTGATTTGGTAAAATGCTATGCCCAAGATTACTATCCGAGTGCCGGCGGTGGGGTGGTTCAAATAGCCTCGGCTATCACCTCATTATGTCCGGTCGTGATGGTCAAGTGGATTAAGGCGTCTTGTACATACCAGTTGCGTCGCTCCTGGGAGTATGGGTTCGAGTCACTTCTGGGGTGTGAGTTTTCAGTTGCATATTGTCCTGGGGACCATTCAGGCTTGTTCGCATTTGTGTTCCTCACGTGTGCCCCAAAGAATGAGGTGATTTGGTAAAATGCTATGCCCAAGATTACTATCCGAGTGCCGGCGGTGGGGTGGTTCAAATAGCCTCGGCTATCACCTCATTATGTCCGGTCGTGATGGTCAAGTGGATTAAGGCGTCTTGTACATACCAGTTGCGTCGCTCCTGGGAGTATGGGTTCGAGTCACTTCTGGGGTGTGAGTTTTCAGTTGCATATTGTCCTGGGGACCATTCATGCTTGTTCGCATATATATATATATATATATATATATATATATATATATATATATATATATATATATATATATATATATATATATATATATATATATATATATATATATATATATATATATATATATATATATATATATATATATATATGTGTGTGTGTGTGTGTGTACTCACCTGTTTATGCTTGTGGGGGTTGAGCTTTAGCTCTTTGGTCCCGCCTCTCAACTGTCAATCAACTTGTGTACAGATTCCTGAGCCTACTGGGCTCTATCATATCTACATTTGAAACTGTGTATGGAGTCAGCTTCCACCACATCACTGCATAATGCATTTCATCCGTTAACTACTCTGACACTGAAAAAGTTCCTTCTAACGTCTCTTTGGCTCATGTGGGTACTCAGTTTCCACTTGTGTCCCCTTGTTCGCGTTCCACCAGTGTTGAATAGTTTGTCCTTGTTTACCCGGTCGATTCCCCTGAGGATTTTGTAGGCTATGATCATGTCTCCCCTTACTCTTCTGTGTGTGTGTGTGTGTACTCACCTAGTTGTGTCTGCAGGATCGAGCATTGACTCTTGGATCCCGCCTTTCGAGCATCGGTTGTTTACAGCAATGACTCCTGTCCCATTTCCCTGTCATACCTGGTTTTAAAATTATGAATAGTATTTGCTTCCACAACCTGTTCCTGAAGTGCATTCCATTTTCCCACTACTCTCACGCTAAAAGAAAACTTCCTAACATCTCTGTGACTCATCTGATTTTCAAGCTTCCATCCATGTCCCATCGTTCTGTTCCTATTCCGTGTGAGCATTTCGTCTATGTCCACTCTGTCAATCCCTCTGAGTATTTTATACTTTCCTATCATGTCCCCCCTCTCCCTTCTTCTTTCAAGTGTCGTAAGGCACAGTTCCCTCAGGCGCTCCTCATACCCCATCCCTTGTAGCTCTGGGACGAGTCTCGTTGCAAACCGCTGAACCTTTTCCAGTTTCATTATATGCTTCTTCAGATGGGGAC